CTTTAGTTTGAATTACAGAAGCATGAATACACATAAAATGCATCAGACTAAAAGAAAAAAATAGAATTTTTGCATGTATAGTCATAGTAAAAATCTGCTTTATATGGCTTGATTATTGAAATTGCCATGCTTTACTTCCCTATTCATACATGTAAGGGGTTTGTGTTCATTTTATGCATTTTCTGTCAAAGATCTAAATTATTAGAAATTACCAGAAGTATCCCAAAATAGCTACCCCGCATCTTAACAAGCTGCCCATTATTTTGAAATATTTTTTAAAATAATGGGCACACTATTTTATCATCCCTGTAACTCTCATTCTATGAGAGTTAAGGGATGTCTTGAAATAGTGCATTATTTTTAAATTTGGCACTGTCTAGATGTACTAAATTTCAAAATAATCTATTTCGAGTTTAGGGTGCTATGTAGATGCACCTGTAAAGTGACACCAGATTTATAGGAGTATAAAAACAAGTTGAATTTCATCCATATATTGTTGTTTGTTAGGCACCAGCAAATCACTTATTGTTTTACAAGACAAAGCGTGAAGACAGTCCCTGCTTGGAAATTCTTACAGTTAATAAGATAGGCACAGAAAAGACATGATGCTCTGGGAAGCCACATGAGATATGTTTACTAATCATCATCATGGTTGGCTCTTTCTTACAGATGTTATGGAAGAAATGAGTCCTTGGGTGGGACCCAAATGCAGACAAGGGTGGTCTGGCAAACCCAAATGGGGGAAAAACAATAAATGGTCTGGTAGCACATTATAGAGTAACATAATGTATAACTCTATAACTCCGGTCATCTGAAGAAGCGGGCTGTTCCCATGAAAGCTCATGATACCATCTACATGTTCTGTTAGTCTATAAAGTGCTACCAGACCATTTGTTGTTTTTTCTGTAACAGACCAACTCGGCTACCCTCTGAAGCTCCCAAATGGGGAAGGTATTCCAAGCATAAGGAGACACATAGAAAAGAGGCAGAGAGATAGAAATGAGAGGAAAATGACATAGCAATTCCCCAAACATTCCTTTGGGTACCTCTAGACTGCTTTCCTCTTCTGAAAGAGGAAATGCAAATGAAGTGCTGATTAGCATATTCTCATGCTTCATTTGCATATCCTCTTCCAACCCTTTTTGCAGAGGAGGGTTTTACACCAAAAACGCAGTCTAGATGCCGCTGTTTCATGGGGGGAAAAAACCCTTTTTCAAAAGAACCCGTAAATCTCATTTTGAGGAATACGGGTTCTTTTGAAAAAGGGGCGTTTTTTTTTCGCAAAACAGCTGTGTCTAGACTGCGTTTTTTGGCAAAAAAAACCTCTTCCACAAGACATGTCAGAAGAGGATATGCAGATGAAGCACGAGAATATGCTAATCAGCGCTTAATTTGCATTGCCTCTTTCAGAAGAGGAAAGCAATCTAAACGTACCCTTTGAGAGTCTCTTGCCCATGCTAAGCTGGGAAGGGTTGCAAGTGCTTTGAATGATAGGATTACAATTCAAAATGATCTGGACAAACTATAGAAATGGTCTGAGGTAAACAGGATGAAAATCAATAAGGACAAATGCAAAGCAATCCATGCAGGGGTCATAGTGGGCCACAAGGTAAATATGAGTCAACAGTGTGATACTGTAGCAAAAAAACCAAACATGATTCTGAGATGTTATAAGGACTGTTATAAGCAAAACATGAGAAGCAATTCCTCCACTCTACTTTGTGCTAATTAGGCCTCAACTGGATACTGTGTCCAGTTCTGGGCACTGCATTTCAGAAAAGATGCGGACAAATCAGAGAAGATCCAGAGAAGAGCAAAAAGACTGATTAAAGATCTAGAAAACATGACCTATGAATCAAGATTGAAAAAATTGGATTTGTTTAGTCTGGAAAGGAGAAACTGAGAGGGGACATGATAATAGCTTTCAAGTACCTAAAAGGCTGTTACAAAGAGAAAGGAGAATATTATTCTCCTGAAACTCAAATCATAGGACAAAAGCAGCAATGGGCTTAAATTGCTGGAGGTTTAGTTTGGACATTAGGAAAAATGTCCTAATTGCTAAGGTGTTTGACCACTGGAATAAATTGTGTAGGTTGTGGAATTTCCATCATTGGAGAAGGTTAAGAGAAGATTAGACAAACACTTGTCAGGGACACGATAGATGGTGTTCGGTCCTGCCATGAGCGTAGGGGACTGGACTTGATGACCTCTTAAGGTTCTTTCCAATTCTATGATTCTACAACTATATAGTCATTCAGCCAAAACCTTTTCTGAAGTATGGAGATGGGTTGATCAAGAGAGTGATAATGATCCTTCTGTGTCGCTGCTGGAGTTGGACTAATTTGTTTAAACAATGTTTGCCCCACTTTTCATTCACTTTTGCATTCACTCTTATGAAGGAAAATAGATTCTGGATGGTACATTTTACATAAACACATTAAAATTTCTTTTTCTTAATAAAATAATTTTTCTTGGGGCAGAAGCAGAAATAGTATATGTTTAGGTCAGACAATCAAAGAATGAAATTAATCCCATGTAATTTCAGAGAATAGGCACCAAGTGCCAATATGGACTATTCCCAGGAAACAGTCTGTAAAAAACTGAAGACTGTGACAAATGCAAAGTATTCATCCTAGTTTGAATCTGGCCAAGATCAGGGTTTGGTCTAATTCCCAGTGGCAATTTTGATATGACAAAATTGTTAGCATGCTAGCAGGCTCAGCAAAGAAACAAACAATGATATGGAAGCTATCCTGTTTTCACATACCTAAAGTTTGCCTCCTCAAAGAAATTATCTTTCACAAATATGAAAATCATTTTGTTGTTTTCTTTTCTGTTATTGTACTTTGATAATGCCTAGGAGTCCCAGTGCTGGACCAGACCCCAACAGTGTACAAACTTTGTCTGATCACTCAGTGTGAATGCTTAGCCCACAGGCCAGTGCATTTCTGTTTCAAACTATCTTTCCCACATGGCAAAAAGCTACTTCCCTAGAGTCTGTATGAATTATTTCAAAAACACTGTAAATATGCAGTATTTTCTTGAGTTATGTGTTAACATATAAAAAGGTCACTGTTGAAAAGAGAAACTTATTAGTATTTTATCCTGAGGGTTACGACAAATTTTAGCGTCTCTCTACTCATTTTAAAATGTGGCAGTCTCTGTTTCTGGGCTAGAAATGAAGAGATCTTATTAACATCCTCATTTAGGAAAATCTTAAAGAAGATGGTGGGTGGGTATTTTCTACAAAGTTTCTTTTTTTCTAATTATTGCTTACATAACAGTGTGAAAGGGAAACTCCCATCAGATGGATGCACATGTGTCTTTTCATTTCCAGTACTGTAGGGTGCTTAGGTTTTGTACACCTTATATCCCTAGATAAGTGTATAGGTTACTGTTTTCTTTATGTTCCTGTTGATCAATAAATTCCTCTTCTTTTTTCCCTCTTTCATTTTACTGCTATTGGAACAAGTCAGTGGGGATGCAGAACAACACCCAATGAAAGAGACCCAGCCTATAGACAAGGGAAACATGGGTGCCTCTGCAGCACTAACACAGCTATTACCTTTACCGTTAATCCCATTAACCCATTGAATGAGTTTCTTAATACAGTTAAGGTCTTGCCTGCTGTGTTTCTTGTGCCTGATTAGGGAGTTCTCTCATTTGTTGAATGTATCCTCTCCTTTTATGCTTAAAGAATATGGATGCTCCTGCAGACAGCAAAGGCAGAGTGTAAGATTTCCTACCAAAGGGAGGGGTAAAAATAAAATTCAAACTGCACTCTTTCACACAACAAACCTACTGGCATGAACCTGATTAGCTTCCTAAGGCCAGCGAAAGCACAAGAACAGGATGTTTTCCTTAAGGGAGGAGGGGATAGGCTGACCTTTTAATTTATAAAGGGAAACCACACACCTAGGTGTGTCAGCTTTCCTGACTAGGAGCAATTAGGACAGAACCTAGGTTGTTATTCTGCTGGGCACAGAAGTCTTTGTTGAAAGATGAACAAGGGCTACCAGCCATGCAGAAAGGTTTAATATATTTCATGTATATGCTGTTTTAACTCTTTTGGGGGGTTGATACTATGTATTTTTTTCAGTCTTTGAAAAACTGACTCTAAGAAAGCAAGACAGCTTGGGATAGCCTGCTACCATATAAAATGCTGGCTGCCTCTTCACTCCAGCAGTAGATTTTCAAGGGTCAGGAACTTGAAATGAATCCTGGTCCATATAACAAATTGCACTAATTCAACCCGAGGGGTCTTTCTAGAACTGATTTAGTTTAAACTTGTACAAACTGCTGTGTGAACTCTTAAAATCTATTTTAACCAGTCTTAGTAGGGAATTAAACAAAATTAATCTGATCTAGATAAATTGTTATAAGCCAGGTTTAAATTGATTTAAAGGGGTTGCACTGGTTTAACTAAACCAATTTAAAAACATTTTTATTAAACTAGTGCATCTTATATTACAGACAAAGTTTGAAACGCTGGTGGTTACAAGTTGTAATAATACTTTATACCAAATTGTAGTCAGTTTTGGATACCCTCATTCATATTGAAAAAACTTATTGTATGAGTAGCCCTTTCAGTTTTAATTGCTCGTGAAGTTAAGTTGCAGCTAAGCATGAATCTTGCTAAGTATGGCTTGCATCTTAAAGTGATTTACAGTTTATTTAGATTTAAAATGCAATATTTTTAAAAACCTATACTACCGTTCTAGGTGCTCAGTCAGCAGTTAGCTTTGTAATCCCTGGGGCAGAATTAAACATGAAAAGTTAACACACAAATCAGGAAACATAGCAGCAGAGTATACCCTTCCACAGATGGTTTTCATGGTGGGTCTGATGGCCTATCATATTCAGTATTGTTGGAGCCCTGTTGGTTCCAGGATATGAGAGACAAGGGTAGAGAAGTAATATCTATAATTGAGCCAACTTCTGTTGGTGGGAGAGAAAAGTTTATGGCTTAAAATTGGTCCAGTAAAATATATTACCCTCACCCTCTTTATCTTTTTGGCCACTGTTGGAAGACAGGATCCTAGGCTAGATGGACCTTTGGACTGACCCAGTATGCTTGTTCTTGTGTTCTTTTTAAATTCAGGGTATTTCGGACCAAAATAAATATGAATTCACAGGCAAGAGGCTTTCATGGAGAACTCTAACCACTTCCCTCTCTTTTATTGAGACCAGGCCTGTGTATCTTTTCATATCTCAACCATGGACACAGGGCAGGGGTAGTATTTCAGGTATACCAGAGCTCTGTTTTAATACCACTGAAAGATGATTATCTCTGTGGTAGAGGAGGGCAGGTAGTGGTGATACAGAGCATCAAAAAGTAGATGGACTTTTTGGCTGAGAGGCCATGACTAGGGTGACTTTATGCACTGGTGATTTTGCACTTCTCCACTGACCCACGAGAGCCATTGCAATAGGGTACAAACTAAGAAAGATCTTAGGGCTGAGCCAAAGGCCAATCCCACCCACAACAATCCTTAATGGGGAACATGCAGGTTTCTCCCTTTATCCCTGATGGTGGTGCAATGATGAATCTGGCATACACATTTTGGTTTCACATTCATTCCAAATGCAGGTGGCACAAAGGAGGTGATTGGAAGAAGAATGTACTTGTAGTGTTATGTCTTTTAGAATGCACACTTGTTCATTTCCCAGCAATCTCCTTTCTGTGGATGCTGTTCAACAGTGGTAGAGGGGACCTCCAGCCAGCAGTAGTCCTGGGGAAGCTGTAGTGTTTCATTGGACCTCTTGAGATCTGTGGATATCTTGAGATCTGTGCAGAAAGTTGTCAGTATGTTAGCTGGATTCATGGAATTCACTATTCCAAGAATACCCCACCCGGGGATAATGAAATCTAAGGTGCCAGTCCTGCAAAGACACATGTATGTATTTAAGTTTATACTTTGTGAGCTTGATCCAAATACCTCTTAAATTAAGGTAAGTCTTTTCATTGACTTCAGTGAGCTTTGGATAAAACCAAGTGAGCAGACCCATTAACTTCAAAAGATTTATCTCCAGTCTAGAAACCTAATCATGTATGCATGTTGTTGCAGGACTGGAACCTAACATGACAGCAGCACCACAAGATATTTTGGGATCAGGCAGTCAACATACTAAAAGAATGTTAAACTACTAATTGTTTTCAATAGCAATGCAGTCTGTTTTTAAGAATGCTAATTGTTTATTTTATGCCACTAAATTCAAACCACGGTAGACTTCGTGGTGGTTTTGTTTTGAACTTTGGGAATGGCATAGGCATTTTTTAACCTTTCTTTGAAACAGAAAACAAATTTCAAACTTTTGAATGAGATTCTAAAAGTTTTGTAGAACCTACATATTTTTCAGACACTTTTACTTGGAATACTTACGGTGCTTGGAAGATCCATGATTTCACTGATGCGAATAGTCTCACCACCCATGCAGATTGCAACTTTTTCATGCTATCCTGTTTTGTGAGCTTCTCATGTCCATAAAGGATCCACCTAATGGGCTAGAGGCCTTTCTTGTGTTCTTTTTACTTCTCGTGGATACCAATGGAGTATACCAATTGGATCCTCTTGTGGATACCAATTGGACTATACCAATGGAGTGTCCATTTATTGTCTCAATCTCACTACATGACCTGCCCATGTCCATTTCCAATCATACATGACTTGGATGATATCGTTGACACCTCTTTTTGTGCACTAATAACACACCTTTAAGGGAAAAAAATCAAACATTAGAAATTCATTTATTTTCTTTCCAAATGAAACAACGAGTTAATAAATTTGGCACCACAACATCAAATTTACTTCCAGACCAAGTGGAGAAAGGAATATGCTGACTAATCCATAATCCTGTAGAAATGCAAGTCCTTGCTTATACAACATTTAATAAGTTATGCATTTTTTCAAATATTAATCAGTTCTGCCAGTTTAGCCGAAAGGGAGCAAAATTTGTTAACATGAAATAAAATACATGTAAAATAATTTCCTTTTCTTCATAGCTAAGAGTTAATTTGCTGTGAGATGAATTGAATGGGAAAGAAAAGATAATGCTTCATTTTGAATGCATCTGTTTTAAGAACATGAACTAAGCCAATTTATAGGTTTTATCCTATAGTTGGAAGAGTTGTAAGTTCCCCTCCCAAAAATCTAATGAGATTAGCAAATAAAACATGTCTTTGTACAAAAATTGAAAATAGCTAAATATCTTAACTGTAATCCAATATCCTCATTTTAACTTGCTGTAATTGAAATATCTTTATATCATCTAAACTAGGTTCACTGGAGGATAGAGACCTAAGTCCTGAAGTAAATGGAAAAGTGGGATACTGTGAGGAGACACAAAGAAGAGGGTACAATAGGAGAGACTTCCTGATTCATATTAAGAAAGTAAAGCAATCGGCTAGTTATCTTAGGTGTCTGTAGAGAATGCAAAAAGCTTGGGAAACAAGCAGGAAGAATTGGAAGTTCTGGCACAGTTAAGGAACTATGTTGTGATCAGAATAACAGAGACTTGGTGGGGTAACTCACATGACTGCAGCACTGTCATGGTTGGATATAAACTGTTCAGGATGGACAAGCAGAAGAGAACAGGTGGAGCAGTTGCACTGAATGCAAGAGTCTGAAAAACATGTTGAGAGTCTTTGGATTAAGTTTAAAAATGAGACCCACAAAGGTGATGTCATGATAAGCATCTGCTAGAGACCACAAAACCAGGAGGATGAGGTAGATGAGGCTTTTTTCACACAACTAACAGAAGTTTCCAGATCACAGTCCCTAATTATCCTGAGGGTCTTCAGTCACCCTGACATCTGAAGCAGTACTCACACAATCCAAGAAGTTTTTGGAGAGTGTTGGGAACAACTTCTTGTAAAAACAAGTGCTGGAAAAAACCACCATCAAGGGGCCATGCTTCTCTTGAGCGGTTGCTCACAAACAGGTAAGAATTGGTAGTGGAATTAGAAGTGGGTGACAACCAGCGCAGCAGTGGCCATGAGATGGTCAAGTTCAGGATCTTGACAAAAGGAAGAAAAGGAGAGCAGAACAATACAGATTCTGGTCTTCAGAAAAAGCAGATAGCCCCTGAGGAAGTCTATGTCTACACTACGGGGTTTTTCCGGGGGTTTTCCGAGGTATCCCAGAAAAACTCCACCGTGTCCAGGGAATGCATCTGCTCTTCCACTTTTTTTGCAGAAGAGCAGACACAGTCTTTCGGAAGCCCTGTCTTCCTCCTTCCACGAGGAAGAAGGGCTCTTCTGAAAGGAGGCTTTTCTGAAATTTGGCCCAGTGTACACTGAGCCAAATTTCAGAAGAGCCTCTTCTGACAAAACAATTTGTGTACCTTTTTCCGATAGATCGGTGTAGTCTAGATATAGCCAGGGAAGACTAGTAAGAAAGGGAAAGAAGTACCAGAGATCTGACTGTATTTTAAATTAGTCTTTTTAAGTGGGCAGGAACATACCATCCTGAGGTCCACAAAGAATAGCAAAAATGGCAGGCAACCTGCTTGGTTTAACAGAGAAATTGGTGAACTTAAACACAAAAAGTAAGGTTACAAGAAGTGGAATCTGGGACAGATTACCACGGGGGAGTATAAAAACATTGCTGAAGTATGAATGGGTGTAAATGGGAAGATCAAAGCATAAATTGAGTTGCAGCTAGCAAGGGATGTGACAAGTAACAAGAATGCTAACATACCTATAGAAATCAACAAGATAGTCATGAAAATTTGGGACCTTTATGGAATGAGAGTGGCAACCTAGTGACAGATTATATGGAAAACGCTAAAGTACTTTTTTTTCTCTTGTTCTTCACAGACAAGGTCAGCACCCAGACTGATGCACTGGGCAGCACAGTATGGGGAGGAGGTGGGCAGTCCTCAGTGGTGAAAGCTGGGACATGCACAAGTCCATGGGACTGAATGCAATGTGTCTGAGTGGGCTGAAGGAGTTACCTCCATGGAGGAGACCCTCACAAAATCCATATTGAAGCACCTGGAAAAGAGGAAGGTGATCAGGAACAGCCAGCATGGATTCATTCCTGACCAACCTGATTGCCTTCTAGGATGAGATAATCAGCTCTGTGGATATTGGGAAAGCAGTTAAGTATGGCTTTGATGAATGGATGATAAGGTGGAAAGAAAGCTGGCTTAATCGTCAGGTTCAACGGGTAGTGATCAGTGGCTTGGGGTGTTTAGTTAGCAACATATGTCAAACAGTGTCCCAGAGTTTGGTCATAGGACCAGTTTTGTTCAACATCTTCATTAATGATGTGGATGATGCACTCTTTGAAAATTTGCAGATGACACTAAACTGGGGGGGGAGTAAGGTAGATATCCTGTAGAGTGGGAAAAGGGCCCTGAGTGACCTAGACAATTTGAAGGATTGGGCCAAAAGAATTTTTTTTTTTTTTTAACTACAGGCTGGGGACTGACTGGCTTAGCGGAAGTTCTGCAGAAAGGGACCTGAGAATTATAGCAGATAAGAATCTGGATGAGTCAGTGTGCCCTTTTTTCTGAGAAGGCTAATGGCATATTGGGCTACATTAATAGGAGCATTGCCAGCATATCAAGGAAGGTGATTATTCCACTTTGTTTGGCACTGGTGAGGCCACATCTGGAATGTCTCCAGTTTTGGGCTCCCCACTACAGAAAGGATGTGAAGAAATTGAGAGATCAGCTGAATGCAAACAAATTACAGGGCTGGGGCACATGAGTCATGCTGAGATACTGAGGGAACTGATGCATGAGAGAAGAGGGGGAATTTGATAGCAGCCTTCAACTACCTGGAAGGGGATTCCAAAGAGGGTGGAACTAGTTTGCTCTCAGTGGTGACTGATGACAGAAAAATGAGCAATGGTTTCAGGTTGTAATGGGGAGGTCTAGGTTGGATATTAGGGAAATCTATTTTATTGGAAGGGTGGTGAAGCACTGGAATGAGTTACCCAAAGAGGTGGTGGAATTTCCTTCCTTAAAACCCTCTAAAGCCCAGCTTGACAAAGCCTTGCCTGGGTTGATTTAGTTGGGGTTGATCCTGCATTAAGCAGGGGGTTGGACTAGGTGATTTTCTGAGGTCTCCTCCTACACTAATCTTTTGATTCTAGTTTTGAATTATTACAGTAAGACTGTGTCTACACTGGGCCACTTATTCCGGAAAATCAGCCGCTTTTCTGGAATAAGCTGCGAGCTGTCTACACTGGCCCCTTGAATTTCCGGAAAAGCAATAACGCTCTACTGTACAAAATCAGCCGCTATTCCAGAAAAACTATTCCGCTCCCGCTCGGGCATAAGTCCTTATTCCGAAACACTGTTCCGAAAAAGGGCCAGTGTGGACAGCCCAGTAGTCTTTTCCGGAATGTCTTTTGCCAATGTAGACGCTCCTTTTCCAGAAAAACTGAAAACGGAATGGTATTCCATTTTAAGCAGTTCCGGAAATTCTTGCCAGTGTAGACACAGCCCAAGTGTGTTATGAGTTTAGGGCATTTGAGGTTCATAATGAATGTCTTTCTCTGATCTTGTTAGTATCCCTGGTACCTCTGCTTGAAGCCTGAGTTGTGGAAAATGCTGAAAGCTTTTTTTACCACAATTTTTTTGTAGTAGATGTAGGAATCATTAGTTGAAATTCTATAGCCTATTTAACGTGTTCAAGCTAGATCAGCAGTTCTCAAACTGTTGGTTGGGACCTCAAAGTGACTCCATTTTAATGGGCTTGCCAGGGCTGACATTAGTCTTGCTGGGGCCCAGGGTCAAAACCAAAGGGGCCAATAAGCCCACACCCAACTCCCCACCAGTGTCAAAGCCATTGGCCTTTGGCTTTGGTCCCCTGTTCCTTGCGCACCAGGGTTTGGGCAGGCTCAGCCTTCAGTTCTCTTTCCCAGGGTGATGCCACTAATTTTTGTTGTCAGAAAAGGGTTGCAGAGCAATGAAGTTTGGAACGCCTTGGCCTAGATCATAATAATGGTTCCTCTGGCATTAATTATTTCAAAGATTTTGAAGAGGAAACAAAATATTTTCATGTACAGTTGATAGAATTTTGCTTCTGCATCAAAGAAGTTTTGAATATGCATTGAAAAAGAAAACCACACCCACTTTCCTTTCACTACCCATCTGATATTTCAAGAGACAAGTACTTCTCAGCACAAGAATATATTAACATTTTGACTTGTATGTGACCTTTAGCTGCATAAGATAGCAACATTTTGTAAAAAATGTTTTATAGTGTGATGTAAGTGAACATTCCAGTGGGAAATGCTGGCAATATTCTACAAAAGGATATCAGCAAGAAACTGAGAGTTGAACCCATCTTGCCTCATGGACAGAGCACTGGACTGGGACTCAGAAGACATATTTTCTGTTCCCAGCTCTACCACTGGCTGCAGGGTTAGCACCAACAAGTCACTTCACCACTGTAAAATCAGGAAGATGATATACTGCAATTGTGAGACATCATCATCTATTGACAAAAAGGACTACAGATATCAGACTGACAATTTTCTCCAGTATCCTGAATGAACTTTCCTGAATCAAGTTAAACCTATTGAATCAGGCTAATACCTTTGGGGTTCATTGTTTTAAAAACACACTTGTGTGTGTGTTAATGTGGAATGGATGTAATTACATGAGAAGAGTGAATAGGAGATCAACAGCAGTGAGTGGGCATTATTAACTCAGCCCTAGTCTACACTAGGGGGTAAGTTTGAATTAAGATACACAA